CCCCCCCCCTCCCCCACATGGCCGCCCTTTTTCTTTCTTTCTTTTCCTGTCTCCCTTGCTCACCACCGTCTGACCATGTCTGCCCCACCGCCACTTCCCCCTCCCGGCGCTCCTTCCTTCACCCAGCCGCTCACCCCCTCCTCTCTGGCGGACTCGGAGTACCTGCTGAAGAAGTCCCGGCAGTTCCAGCGCTTCTTCGAGCGTCTTGGCTCCAAGACCGACATCGCCTCGAGCCCGGACATGATGGAGTTCATGTCCTTTGTGGAGGGTGGTGCCCCGGCCGCGCACCTGTCTGTATGTCCGGCCCTCGGCCCTCGGCCCTCTTCGCCCCCATCCCATCCATCCTCCTGGGTGTCACTGGCTGTCGCCACTCCGCACGGGTCTGCCCAGTCTGTCATGACCATCCATGCCACCCAGCCCTCGCTGACCTTCTGCCGTCTCCCAGGACGTCTTCAACAACCCGGAGCTCGCGGCCAACAAGGCTGGCAGCCTCTCCGCCAAGAGCCTGCTCGACTCGGCGGCCACCCTGGCCCGTGTGGGTGGCAACACCAACAACAGCACCATCCGCGTGCACAAGCTGACCTACCCCATTGATGAGGTGGACCAGCCCCTCTTCGACACTGTGCGCCTGCCCCCTTCCTTTTGGCCGGTCGGCCGACCCGCATTGCGCGATTTCATACACACACACACACACACGCACACATGCATGCATGCAGATACACGCCCTAACCGCGATGGCGCCGTGCACGAATGTGCTGCCGGGAATCCGACTGTCACCTCCAGCGCCGCACCTTCATCTCCAACTTCGAGCGCGACCACATCGCCATGATCGATAAGCTGGCCGAGCAAATCCGCTCGAACCGTGGTGCGTTCCCCCCCTCCCCTCCTCCCTCCCTGCACATGTTTGGCCCACACCATTGTCCCCTTCGTCAACCATCCCTGACTTCCTGCTCTCCCCCCCCCCCCCCCCAGCCTACTTCACCTCGCTCAAGGATCTCACCGCCCAGATGTCCACCATGTCCACCGAGCTCAATGATGAGGCCAGCCCCGGGGCCACCATCATGGACAAGCACTTCGCCACGCTGAGCCAGTCGATCGACCGGTCGGCCGAGCGCCTGGAGGGCATCGCCACCCGGCAGATCACCGACGAGGTGTCCAAGCTCGGCGAGACCATCCTCGACCAGCGGCAGCTGATCCACGCCGTGCGGGCTCTCATGAACCGCCGGACCGCGGCCATCGAGAAGTTCGACGATCGTCGCAAGGAGGCCGACCGCCTGGCCTCCAACCATGCGAAGCTCCTGCGCAAGCACCAGACCGACTCGCACCCGGAGGTGGTGCGCGCCAGCCAGGAAATCGAGGCGGTACGCTGCTTTCCCTGCTTTCCTTTGCCCTTTTGCCCCCTTCCTCGTGCGCGCTTGGCCCTCATCACGGGGGCCAGGCGTGCGCCGTCCGCCGGTCCGCCAACCGGCACTGACACCCCCCCCCCGCCCCCCGCCCTCGCTCCTGCGCCGCCAGATCAACGAGGAGAAGCTCAAGCTTCTGGAGGACATTGCCACCTTCGAGAAGTGCATGACCGCCGAATTCCAGGTCCTTGATGCCGAGCGCGCCTCGGACTACCTGGCCTCGGTGGCCCACTTTGCCCGGACCCAGCTGTCCTACGCCGAGGAGATCCACTCCGCGCTGGCCGAGTCGCTGAATGACCTGCGCTGCGCGCCGCCCCGCGTCTCCGCCAACAAGAGTGTCTTCGAGATGGACCACTCTGGCCAATTCCTCCAGTACTTCTGAGTGCCAGGCGTTGCGGGGAGAAAGGCAGCAGGGGCCGGCATCTTGGTGGCCATGTACCGTGGCTCCCTTGCCCCTGCGCCGATGCCCGCCTCGTGCACGGCCCCCGCCACCGACACCGGCGTGAAGAAGGGGCCCCATTGACGTACATTTATATACATACACTTCAAAGGACAAATCATCCCCATGTGCACTGGTCGTCTCTTGGGCACTTTGCTCCTGGCGGGGGGCGGGGGCATGGAATGCGTCTTTGGCGAAAGCAGAGTGGGGCGGCCGGCACGCGCGAAGGACCGTGCACTGTCAAGCAGGCCGGCAGCCGGTGAATATCCCGGTGGCGCTTCAAGAGAAGAGCATCGCGCGGGGAGAAGGAGAGGGTGCACTTGTACATTTCCACCCCCCTTCGCTCACACACGCACCCACTTGACGGAAAGAGAAACAAGATCGGGGCTGGCGGCTGGGGGCAAAAGGTCGATCAGATGGCGTCGTGGTCATGTGCATTAATTGTAAATGAGGGACAAACATTCCGCCTGGGCCGACGGCCCGGCGGCTCGGAGCGCTGGCAGCATGTTTACGAGGCAATCATGTTGGATTACTTAATCCTTTGCCAGACGCGCGCATGCGTTGGGAGCAGATGTGAAATCAACATGGCGCGCGCGGACCCCGGGCTGTCTGCCCTCGGACACCCCGCGGGAGGCGAGGGTCTTTTTAAAAAAGGCCGCAATATCCCCCGTGGACCGCCTTTTCCGGGGCAAAGGAACAAAGGGCACGACGCACATCCGAGGGACTTCGAGGGCCGGGTGGGTTGTCCCTCCCCCCCCCCCCCCTCCGTCGCCCGACATCTTGCCCCCCACGCGGCGAAAGGTGCCGTGGGGGGCTGGTCTCGCTGGTCAACGGGGTCCCTCTTGGGCGGAAGCCCGGCGGGCCATGCAGCTTGGGAGGCCCGCTTTGCCGAGCCAACTCCAAGAGATGAGGGCTGGGCGCGTGTGTGTGTGTGTGTGTGTGTGTGTGTGTGTGTGTGTGTCTAGCGCATGCGGGCCGCGCGGGACCTGGGGCGGGGGGCGGGCAGAAGGCCCGAGGCTGAGGATTGGGCGGCAGCCCGGCCTGTGTCCCAGGGAGAAGGTTCGCGAGCTTGCCGAGCGTTATCCATTGGCAGCGTGGCCCGGAAAAGCGGGGCAAGTCGGGGACGGCCGAGGGCCGGGGGGATGTACGCGACCCCCCCGGGGGGCAGGTGGTGTGGAGGGGCACCTTGGGCGTGGCCCGAGGCCCGGGAAGGGGGGGGGGGGCAGGGACTAGGCCCGGTTGCGAGCGTCGATTGGGCGCGGCCTGGGAGTCCCGGCCGCCGCCGCGTGTTTCCCGACATCTGGGAGCCGAGGATCCCGACCCTGGCCCCGACGCGCCATGCACCGCAATGATCTCCAGGGTGCAGGGGGGGGGGGGGGGGGAGCGCGTGTGCGGCCCCATTCCTTCCGGCTGCCGGCCCACGGTCGGGGGATTGAGCCCGGCCGTTCCCGCCGGTTCCGTATATTCCCCCCTGGGGGCGGACGCCGAGTGGGCCTAGCCCGGGAAGCAACGCAAGGTGGCGCTTCGGGCTGCAGACGATCGTCCACGGGTATTTATAGGGTGCCCCGCTGGTCGCCCCGGGCCCCGGATATGCGTCCTCTTTCCCTCCCCACAATACCCCCCCCCCTCCCCTCTCCCCCTGTGCCCCATCATCACCTCTTGATGGGTATTTAGGCCTCCTCCCTTTTCTTCTTGCCAATGATCGACTTCTGCGGCCCCGAGGGTTTCGTGCGTTCTCTTGCCCGCCTTGCGACGGTCCTCGCTGTGCTCGTTCGCGCTCGTTGCCCCTTTGCTGACTTCTCCGTCCCCCCCCCGGTCTCCTCCCCCACACGATTGCGACAGGGCCCCGGGTCCTCCCTGCGGGAGTTCGACCTGACCCCCTGTTTCCAGGCGACCATTGTGTCGTTCCTGCCGCAACTCTTCGTCATCCTGCTGGGTGTGCCACTCCTCTACAAGCTGGAGGACTCGCAGCCCCTTCCGGCCATCCGCCGCGGGGGGCTGGCCCCCCGCCTGCTTTATGCTTCTCGCCTGATCCTCGGTCTGTCGACCTTCCTCGCGTCGCTTGTCTACCTGACGCTGGTCGTGCGCGACGTCGGCCTCACCTCCTATGGGTATGAGCTGCTTCATGCCATCGGCAACCTCGTTGCCAACGTACGTTCCCCTTGCCGCGCTTGAGCACACGCGACCCCCTCCATCGAGTTCTCGAGTGGTGGCTGCCCTCACGCGTGGGCCTTTCCTCCTCCCCCCTGCCTCTCTCCTCTTCTTCTTCCTCCTCCTCCTTGCATGTGCATTTGCTCACTCTCCGTCTCCACCGCCGGTTCCCCTCCCGCCATCTCCCCCCCGCGGCGATCCCCTCGTATTCTCCCCCCTCCCCCCCCCTCCCTGCCACAGAATCTCGTCTTCCTGATCCAGATTCTCTACTACCATCGTCGCTTCGGGTCCTCCTACCTCCTGTCCATCTACTGGGTCGCTGCCGCGGTGGCCGCGTCCATGAACATCCGCACCACCTTCGACAGCACCCCCACTTGGAGCCTGGCCCTGCAAAGCATCCACCTGGCCCTCTACCTTCTGCTGTCCCTTGTGGAGTCCATCGAGAAGCCGCTGGAGCCCGGCGCCGAGGACCAGTTCACGCCCGAGGAGCAGTCCAACTTCTTCTCGATGATCTCCTTCTGGTGGATGACCAGCACCATGATCCTGGGCTACCGCAAGCCCCTGGAGGGGTCTGACCTTCATCGCCTGAATGCGGCCGACCACTCTGACCGGCTGTACAATCAGTTTGGTACCGCCTGGGCCGAGCAGCTCCGCCGCCACGGCCACAAGTCCGGCCAGATGGGCCACAGCGAGGCGGCGGCGGAGGAGGAGCTCGACGCCGATGAGGACGACCTTGTCCAGGTGGATGGCCGGTCCACGCCGTCCCTCTGGTCTCGGATCTTCCGTCGCGGTCGCAGCGCCGGCGGCCAGAGGAAGAAGAAGAAGAAGTCCCGCAAGCGCCGGCCCTCGGTCCTGTGGGCCGTCCTCTCGGCATACGGTGCTCCCTTCGGCGTGGCGGCCATCTTCAAGCTCCTGCAGGATTTGATGTCCTTCGTGCAGCCGGTCCTGCTGCGCGAGCTGCTGGCCTTCGTCACCAGCCAGGGCACCCCCACGCCCCAGCCCCTCGAGCGTGGCATCTACATTACCATGGTCATGTTCGGGACGGCCCTCTTCCAGACCTTTGTCCTGCACCAGTACTTCCACCGGTGCTTCACGACCGGCATGCGCGTGCGCGTGGGCCTCACGGCGGCCATCTACCGCAAGGCCCTGCTCCTGTCCAGCGACGCCCGGCAGCAGAGCACCACCGGCGAGGTGGTCAACCACATGAGTGTCGATGCTCAGCGTCTGCAGGAGCTCACCAACTACGGGCACATCCTCTGGTCCGGCCCGTTCCAGATTGCCCTGTCGCTGTACTTCCTGTATGAGATCCTCGGGCCGGCTGTCTTCGCCGGCTTGGCGGTCCTGCTGCTGATGATCCCCATCAACTCGCGGCTGGCCATCCGCATGCGGGACTTGCAAAAGCGCCAGATGGCCAGCAAGGACCAGCGCATTCGTCTCATGGATGAGGTCCTGGCCGGCATGCGTGTCATCAAGCTCTATGCCTGGGAAAATTCCTTTGTCCAGCGGATCCGCGGCGTGCGCGCCGGCGAGCTGGCCGATCTGCGCGCCACGGCCAGCATCGCCTCCGTGCAGTCCCTCACCTGGGTGTCCTCGCCCTTCTTCTTCTCCTTCGTCAGCTTCATGGTCTATGTGCTGACCAGCCCGACGCCCCTGACCCCGGAGGTGGCCTTCGTCAGTCTGTCGCTCTTCAACCTGCTGCAGTTCCCGCTGGCCATGTTCCCGAATGTCATTAGCAGCAGTGTCGAGGCCGGCGTGGCCATCACCCGGCTGGAGGATTTCTTCCTGCGCGAGGAGCTGGACCCGCGTGCGGTGTTGCGTCTTCGCTCGGAGGGCATTGCCTGCCCGGATGCCATGCCCCTCGGTGGTGGTGGTGCCGACACCATCGATGCCACCGGTGCCGGGGAGGATTCGGCCATCGGCTCTCCCCTGTCGCTGGGTCCCCTTTCGGAGGCGGCTGGCCAGCCTTCGCAGGAGCTGGAGACGGCCGGCCTGCTGACCGGCGCCACGGCGGCCACTGGCGGGGCTCGACTCACCATGGGTGTGTCCATGGCCGCTGGCAGTGATCTGGAGTCGCTGTCGGATAGTCCCACGATGACCGCCACCGCCGGGGGTCCAGGCGGCGAGTCGCTGGCCATGACCAGCCTGGCCGGGGTGACCCTGCTGCCGGACAGCCGTGTGGTCATCGAGGACGGGTCCTTCGCGTGGAGCCAGCGCCAGGCTCGCGACGGGACCCCGACTCTGCAGCGTGTGTCCCTGGCTCTGAACGATGCGTCGCTCATGGCGGTGGTTGGCCCGGTTGGCTCGGGCAAGTCCAGTCTCATCGGTGCGGTGCTGGGTGACATGCTCCGGGTGTCGGGCGCGGTGGCCACCCAGGGCCGCGTCGCGTACGTCCCCCAGCAGGCGTGGATTCTCAATGCCACTCTGCGCGAGAACATCCTCTTCGGGCGTCCCTACGATGAGGCGTTCTACAATTCGGTGGTCGACGCGTGTGCCCTGCGCCGGGATATCTCCATCCTGCCGGGTGGTGACATGACCGAGATCGGTGAGAAGGTGCGTCCACACAGTCACATCTATGTTTATCCACACACACACACGCACACATATGGGCACATGATGCGCGCTGAGGCGCCTTCGCGCAGCGACCAAACATGGCCGAGTCGACTCCTTTTCCTGCTCCCTGTTCCCTGCTCTGCTCCCTGCTCTGCTCCCTGTCTTCTTGATGCCCGTGGCCCGATGACTAACATGTCGATTGTTCCTGTTGTCTCCTCCCTCTCCTCCGATCTGCCTGGCTCTCCTCTCCCTCCCTCCCTCCCTCCCTCCCTCCCTCCCTCTCTCTCCCTCCCTCTCTCTCCCTCTCTCTTTCTCTCCCCTCCCCCCTCTCTCCCCTCCCCCTCTCTCCCCTCCCCTTCTACGACGCAGGGTATCAACCTCTCTGGTGGCCAGAAGCAGCGCGTGTCCCTCGCGCGCGCGGTCTACAGCCAGGCCGATATCTACCTCCTGGATGACCCACTTAGTGCGGTGGACAGCCATGTCGGCCGGCATATCTTCGAGCGGGTGATCGGCCCGCGCGGGTGTCTGGCCGACCGGGCCCGGCTGCTGGTCACGCACGGGATCCACTACCTGCGCTATTGCGACCAGATTGTCACCATGCGTGGCGGGCGCATCGTCGAGTCCGGGTCCTACCGGGCGCTCATTGACAATGGCGGCCTCTTTGCCCGGCTGGTCGAGGAGTATGGCTCGGCCGAGGCCGAGGATGGCGGCGACGCCAGCCCCGGGCTCATGGCCTCCGATGACGAGGACAACGCGGACACCGGCGGCCCCAGCCCGGCAAGTGAGCCGCTGGTGGAGGAGGCCGAGGCGCAAAAGGCCGCGGCCCTGGCCGCCAAGCCCGATGCCGATGCCGCCGGGGCCCAACTCGTCGAGAAGGAAACCCGTGAGGTGGGCGACGTCAAGGGGTCTGTCTATGTGACCTACATGAAGGCCATGGGCATTTGGCCGACCGTGCTGCTGCTGGTGTCCTTCCTGCTGACGCAGGCCGCCCAAATTGGCTCCAGTGTCTGGCTGTCCTACTGGTCCGAGCAGCGGACCACCAGCAATGTGTGGCTCTACCTGGGCGTGTATGCGGCCCTGGGCGTGGTGATGTCCCTGCTGACCGTGGCGTCGGTGTATGTGTCCCGGGTGGTGACCGGCCTGCGTGCGGCGCGGCTGCTGCACGAGAAGCTGCTGGATCGGATCTTCGCCGTGCCGATGAGCTTCTTCGACACCACCCCCCTGGGGCGCATTGTCAACCGGTTCAGCAAGGATCTCAACACCATTGATCAGGTTCTGCCAAATGCCATCTACTCCTTCCTGCGGACCTTTGCCCAGGTGCTGGCCGTGCTGGTGGTCATTTCCTACTCGACCCCGTACTTCCTGATTGCCATCATCCCCCTGGGCGTGGTGTATGTCATGGTTCAGCGGTTCTATGTGGCCACCTCGCGCGAGCTCCAGCGCTTGGAGTCCATCTCCCGGTCGCCGATTTACGCGCACTTCGGCGAATCCCTCGGCGGTGTGTCCACCATCCGTGCCTACTGCCAGGAGAAGCGCTTTATCCAGGCCAATCGTGCCTTCCTGGACATCAACTCCCAGATGTACTACCCCTCCATCAGCAGCAACCGCTGGCTGGCCGTGCGGCTGGAGTGTGTCGGCTCCCTGATTGTCCTGCTGGCGGCGTTGTTTGCCGTGCTGGCCGGCAACACCATCAATGCCTCTACCGTGGGCTTGTCCCTGACGTATGCCCTGTCCGTGACGCAGACCCTCAACTGGATGGTGCGCATGTCGTCCGATGTGGAGAGCAACATCGTGTCGGTGGAGCGTGTCAATGAGTACACCGAGCTGGAGACCGAGGCGCCGGCCTCCATTCCGGAGACCGACCCGAATGCCAATTCCCCGGCGGCCTGGCCCTCGGCCGGTGCCATCACCTTCCACAAGTACTCCACGCGCTATCGGCCTGGCTTGGACCTGGTCTTGCGGGACATTTCCCTGGCCATCGGGGCCCGGGAGAAGATCGGTGTGGTGGGCCGCACCGGTGCCGGCAAGTCGTCCCTGACGCTGGCCCTCTTCCGGCTGATCGAGGCGGCTTCCGGGTACATTGACATTGACCAGGTGGACACCTCGCGCTTGGGCCTGCACGATCTCCGGTCTCGGCTGAGTATCATCCCCCAGGAGCCGGTGCTCTTTGGTGGCAGTGTCCGGCAGAATCTGGACCCCTTTGATGACCATACCGATGAGGCGGTGTGGGCCGCCCTGCACAGTGCCCACATTGGCCCTCACATTGCCTCGCTCGAGGGCCAGCTGTCGGCGATCGTGGCCCAGGGCGGGGAGAACTTCAGTGTCGGCCAGCGCCAGCTGATTTGCCTTGGGCGTGCTCTGCTCCGCCGGAGCCAGATCCTCGTGCTGGATGAGGCCACGGCCGCCGTGGATGTCGAGACCGACACCCTCATCCAGAGCACCATCCGCAAGGAGTTCGCCGGGTGCACCATCATCACCATTGCCCACCGGCTGCACACCATCATGGACAGCGATCGGGTTCTGGTGCTGGACCATGGCCGGGTGGCGGAGTTCGACTCGCCCCAGGCCCTGCTCGCCCAGCCGGGGTCCAGCTTCTTCGGCATGGCCCTCGATGCGGGCATTGTTCGTCCGGATGGCACCATGGTCGGCAGTGCCACTGGCAGCAGTGCTGGCAGTGCCAGCGGCAGTGTCGCCGGCAGCAGCGAGGCCATTTCGCTCCTGTGATATCCCTCCTTTGCTTGCCCTCTCTCTCTCTCTCTCTCTCTCTCTCTCTCTCTCTCTCCTTTGCCCCTTCTCTTTCTCTTCCCCCCCTCCTTCTTTGTCCTTGCCATTTTCCCTTCCGTGTCTCTCCTCCTTGGCTCCCTCTTTTCCCAATTTGTGTGTCTGCAGCATTGGCCGGTGCATTTGCGTGCCATCGCACATTGCACTGCGCGCGCCATGCCATATCTTGCCCAAAATGGGAAATACATCCACAAGAGAGAGAGAGAAAAAAAGAGAGAAGGAGCAAAACAGGTCACCCTTTCAAGCGCGAGATGACTGCACGAAGCACGTTTTCTTTTTATTGGCGCGGGGGTGCGCGCACAAAAGTGCCTCGATGGCGCGGCGTCGGATCGGGTTCTGGGGAGGAGCACGGAGGGGGGGGAGGGGGGCGCGCGGCATACACGTGGGGGAGAAACGTTGCCTATGATGAGGTGTGTGTATGCGTGCGTGTGGATGTGTGCACGGGCACCGACATCAGAGCACGGCCAGGGGGAAGGGCAGGGGGGGGGAGGGGGGGGGCCTTACTTCTTACCGCCAGTGGCAGCGGCCAGACGCTCGGCCACATTGTCCCAGTTGACCACGTTGAAGATGGCCTTGATGTAGTCCGGGCGGACGTTCTTGTACTGCAGGTAGTAGGCGTGCTCCCAAACATCGATACCGAGCAGGGGAACGAGGCCTACGGGCTCGGGGAGGAGGGTGCGAGGGAAAAAAGGGGTCAGGGGCCGCATGAAGGGAGGGACGACCGGCAGAGCAGGAGGCGAGGGCAGCAGCCTGGGAGCGCGAGAGTGTGCGCGGGGTACACACCGGTGACAGAAAGCGGGTCCTGGTTGGGCATGGACATGATGGAGAGACGGTCCTTGGTGGGGCAGTAGCCCTGTTGAGCAATGCGAGAAAAGGCCAAGCCGCAGCCAGCAGAGGCGGGGGGGAGGTCCATGCACCGCAGTCAGTTTCGGAAGGAGAGAGAGGTGCTGGGGGGGGGGGGGGGAGGGCAGTCCAGCGAGAGACAGGGCCACAGCAGGGCAGAGCACGTACGAGCCAGGCCCAGCCGGAGCCCTGGACACCGGCGGCCGCGGCCGACAGGTCGGCCACAAGCTTCTCATGCGAGCCAAAGTCCTTGGCGATGCGCTTGGCCAGGTCGCTGCCCTCGGCCGGCAGGACACCACCGCCGTTGGAGGTCGGGGCAAGGTTGGTCCAGAAGATGGAGTGGTTGACGTGGCCGCCGCCGTTGAACTTCAGGGCGCCCTGCAGGGCAATCTGCCCGGCCACGTCGCCGGAGGCCTGGGCCGCGGCAAGCTTCTCCTCGGCGGCGTTCAGGTTGTTGACGTAGGTCTGGTGGTGCTTCTGGTGGTGGATGCGCATGATCTCCCCGCACAGGTGCGGCTCCAGGTCGTCGTAGCCGTAGGCCAGCTCCGGGAGCTGGTGCTTCAGGCGCATGGCCATCGAGGGGAGAGCCGCACCGGAGGTGAAGGCGCGGCGGGTGGCAGTGGCGGCGGCG